GGGGTTCGCGATGATAACAGGTAGATAGTGAAGCGGACAGGTGGGAGAGATGACGGACAAGTCAAGGAGGCAGGGATGAAGCTAGTAAAGGTCAGTGTAGCTTAGGTGGTGGTGGGGATTGGTCAGTCAGGTGGGAGGAGCGGACAGGTGGGAGAGAAGATGACACGTCAAGGAGGCGGGATGAAGCTAGTAGAGGTGAATGTAGGTAGGCAGTGGAGGGGAATTGGTCAGTGAGATGGGAGGAGCGGACAGGTGGGAGAGAAGATGACAGGTCAAGGAGGCGAGATGAAGCTAGTAGAGGTGAATGTAGGTAGGCAGTGGAGGGGAATTGGTCAGTGAGATAGGAGGAGCGGATAGGTGGGAGAGAAGACGGACAGGTCAGTGAGGCGGGAATGAGAGAGGGGGCTGGTCTTGGGATGAGATCTGAGGTGGGGAGATTTTGACGCTAGTAAAGTCCACATTGAGACCATTGGGTTATAGGGTTCCAAGAATCTGTGACTGTTCTCCTACTAGATTATCATCTCCATATTTAGTGAGTACTGCTGCCTATTTACGGATAAATCAGGAATGTGTTGACTTTTGAACCTTATTTACAATATTACATTACTTTCTTTACAGTTACTCCAGTCTAGATGTTCTTCATGAGGTTGTGATTTGTACTCAAGTTTTTAGAATTGGTTAAATTGTTTTGTCTTTCAGTGATGGTTTTAGGAGTCCTACTTGGAAGGAAAAGATACCCATTCACCAAGTATTTGTGTGTGCTGCTCATAGTTTTGGGAGTAGCATTATTTATGTACAAACCTAAGAAAGGGATTGGCAGTGCAGATGACCATATCTTTGGATTTGGGGAAGCACTACTAGTAAGTAAACATCATCTAGTGTTTTCATTATTTGTCGAATATATATTTCTTATTGTACCATAACGTTTGGACTCAGCAGAGTCCAATAACTATCCTCTAAGCCAAAGCAAGAATACAAATTGCTGGAGAAACTCAGCAGGTGTGGCAGTGTCAGTGGAGAGAGAGAGCAGAATCATCATTTCAGGTCCAGTGACTCCTCTTCAGAACTGATTGTTGCCAGGAAATTGGAAAATGTGGTATATATGCTGAAGATGGAGTGGGTGGTGTGAAGGAGTAAACAATAGGTGGAGATAGAGCCCAGAGAGACAACAGTAGTCATGGGGATGTGTTTTGTGTTTCCAATGTAGAGGGGACCACATTGTGAGCAGCGAATACAGTAGACTAGATGAGTGAAGTGCAGGTAAATCACTGCTTCACCTGGAAAAGGACTGAACGACTGCTTTGCAGAACACTTATGTTCTGTTGGCAAAGTGACCCTAAGCTTCAGGTTGACTGATCCTTCAGCACATCACTGTGCTCCCTGGCCAACATCGTTGACTCGGGGCTGCTCGAATTCAATAATTGAATTCAATAATTTTGGGGCCTGAGCACCTAGTTCCATGCCCTTTACCCATCCCCACAACCTCGGCTCCATCATCATATGGGCTGCTTTAATCACAGCCAACCCATTTCACCTACTAATGGTCCATTTTATCAGGTTTCTTTCTCCCTGCCTCCCCATTATCCATCCCTTTGTCTAGCTACTAGCTACTGTTCTTTGTCTCTGGGCTCCATTTGCCACTATCGTTTACTCCTTCCGAACAAACCTCACACTCCCCTACCCCATCATCAGCATAAATACTACCTTTTCTTAGCCACAATCGGTTCTGAAGAAGAATCACTGGACCCATAATCTGGAATCTGCTTCCTGTCCACAAATGCTGCCAGACTTGCTGAGTTTCTCCAGCATTTTTATTTTTGTTTCCGATTTCTACCACCTACAATTTTTTTAAAAATCTTTTTAACAGGCCAGTCTTGTAAATTTTCACACTGCATTTCATGATGATGGCGTAAATGGTTCTGCAACGATAACTCTTAATCACTGATGAATTCTAGTTTTTAATCAATTTATTAAAATATTAAATTGACTTGCCTTTCTTTTCCCTGTTTTCTCCCATTCTCTTGTCTTAATGTGTCAAAAACTGTTTTATCTAAGCAGTCTTTTTTTATATTTATTTTCTTAAAGCACTCATTAAAATGTTTCTCATCTCTTTGATCTCCTGGTTTCCATTGCCCATTTTTGAAGTCAGCAAAACTTCCAAAAGTCACTTCTTCAAAAACTTAGAAGATTTTAAAAGACCAAATGAAAGCCCATGTTGTAAAATGAGGCAGTTGCCAGTTTAAATATACAAAATACTCTGAATGTATATACATAAGTGATGGCTAATGGATAATAATCACCAAATCAAAATAAATAATTTTGGGTTAGTTAGACATTCAAAGCTAAGGCCTTGAATATCTATAGTGTTCTTCTGATCTCCTGTCCAGGCAGTCCCGGGGTTGCGAACGGAGTCCGTTCGCAAGTCAATTTATACGCAAGTTGGAACGCAATGCAAGACAATGTAAAATAGCCATTTGTAAGTACAGGAAATGTTCATATGCCGGGTCTTGAAAATTACACCCTTATGGGATCGCGTTCATTAGGACAAGTGTTCGTAAGTCAGACATTTGTAAATCAGCAACCCCCTTCCACAGCTCTCTCTGGGTTCGAGAATTCCAAAGATTCATCACCCTCTGAGTTAAGAAATGTTCTGGATCTCCATCTTATCAGGATCGAGAGTAAGGCAGTTATCATGTACCCCGGTTCTAAAATCACCAGTCAGAAGAATCAGCCTATCTGCATTCGCCCTGTCACACCTTGAGAGAATTTTGTTAGTTCCAATAAGGTCTCCACTTGTTCTGCGAAATGTTTAGGAATGCAAACCCGCTTTCCTCAATCTTTCCTCAGACAACAATCCTATCCCAAGAATCAATCTGGTGACTTCCCCAGTATCAACATCTTGGGAGTCACCAGCTACATCAATATTATGATTACAGGAACAGGTCAGAGGCTGAGTATTCTTCAGTGATTGACTCGCCTCCTGACTCCCAAATGTCTTTCCCTTACTTAACGTTTAAGCCAGGAGTGTGATGGAATACTGTCTGCTTGCTTAGATGAGTGCAGCTCTGATAACACCAAGAAAAAGGTAACCTGCTTGAATAACACTCCATCCGATGGGTTTAACTAGTTAATCCCTCCACCATTGGGTTAGTTTGGCTGCTCTGCACCATATCTCCAAATTGCAGAAATTCTAAGCAGGTGATGAGAACATCATCAATCTTCCTTTCAAGTCACGTTACCTTCCGCTTCAGAAATAAATTGCTGCTGTTCCAATGTGAGCTTCAGTGGTTCACCTTTTAAGGATAATTAGGGATGTGCCGTAGTGCTGGCCTTGCAAACAACACGAACATCTCCTGGTTGAATAATATTTTTAAAATTGTGGAAGGTCCTGTTTTGGTGGTCTCTAATTACAGGATTCATACCTATCAGTGGTTTTAAAAAAAATGAGTTCACTACCACATTGTTGAAGAGGAATCAACCTGAATAATTGGTTAAGACAAGGTATTTCTGTGTTAGTAATTTCTTATACATCTGTCAGCTAGATATCAGTATCACCTTGACTGGAACAGCTTGACTCAGATATATGCATGACATGGACTGAGGCAGTTGTAGAAGGTGGTTTACCAGCACCTTCTCCGGGACAGTTAAGGATGGGCAATAAATGCTGATTGAGCCAGCAAAACCCAAATAAGATCCTAAGATGCAGGAGCAGAAGTAGTTCATTCAGCCTATCAAGTCCAATCTGCTATTTATTGAGATCATGGCTCATCTAATAATCCTAATTCCACTTTCCTACTTTATTCCCATAAATATTGATCCTGTAAATGAATCAAGAAAAATGTCAGTGCTATCTCTGTGATATTGTTAGAACACAAACTTTGCTCAATGTCTTGACTTTTTCTCTGTGAGACGTTAAATGAGCTATTTTCGTACAATAGTTAATGGTCTCCCTTTTTGATTTGTTGATTGCCAGATCCCATTTTCTCTCAGGTTTGAGTGCAGTCTTTTCTCGATTTGTGTTTTTTCAATTTGGTTCGCCAACCTCATTTAAGTTCTCAGTCTCTTTATCAATCCTTAAGGCTTAACAAGATTGCCTGAAGTGTTTTTGTGATGCCAAAAGCTGTAACTTCTTTCCATTTTAACAGTAATGTATGTGTGTGTGTATATATTTTACCATTAGAGCTTACCAATACTAAGGAATAATGGTACTGATTGCTTACTGAGCACCCCATACTTGTATGTATGACAAACATGATTCCCTTGCTTTTACAGTTAGTCTCCTTGACCTTGGATGGATTAACTGGAGTAGCACAAGATCACATGAGAGCTAATTTCCAGACTGGGTCAAACCAGATGATGCTGAATATAAATGTTTGGTCCAGTTTATTCCTGGGAATAGGTAAAAATATTGTAGATGTGTTTTAGAATTTTAAAAATAATTTTATGAAATGGCAAATATCTTTCAATAACTTGAAGCTGCATAAAGAATAGAAATTGTAATAGATGGGTGGTGTGTAGGGCAGTTAATATACTGGGCCTCCAATTTAATACTGTGGGATATATTCCTTAAACTGTTGTTGTTTGCAGTGAATTGAACAAGTTACTGAAGTGTGTAGTTCTGTACTCTGCCAGGATTCAAAGATCTCTATCTTGACTCTTTCCCTACCACAGGCGCACACTCTCTCTCAATTGAAATGGCTGAATGCAAAGTGAAAATTAAGTTATTAGTTATGGATTTCTTGTGTATTCAGCTAGATTTATAAAAGCATTAATGGTCACCTTTTTAAAATAATCCTGTCTTAGTATCAATCTCTTTACCTATCGACTGGCAGGGATTTGCAGCCCAAATACAAGTTCCATACAATTTTCTTCTCTTTGCACTAATGTCAGATGAATGTTTTGTGACATTTTGTGTTTCTTAACATCTGGTATCTCAGCTGAAGAAATACCATTGAGAGTCCTTTTGTTCATTGCTTATCCTCCCTCTACATCCTTACAGGGTACGAAAGGGATGTTGACCTTTTAAAGACTTCTTGTGAGGCATGTGATGTTCTTTCACCAGCTTTATGCATTATGTCTTGTCTTATATGCTGTACCACTTTTTTTTGCTGTTGGCAGCAGTATTCTTTTAGAGTTTTTTTAAAAGGTAAAGCAGGATAGTTTTTTAAAAAAAAAGTTTTTAGAATTTATCTGGATTTTCACAGGACTGCAGTTAAGGTCTTTGCTAACAGATGCCAATAGATAATGTGAAATTACAAGGAGTGACAATGGGTTGTTAACTGACAGCCAGACAGAAAGCAGACACTGAGTAAAGGGTGTTTTCACTGTCACGGACTGGTATACTGATGTTCCAAATTGATCAGTGCTGGGACCACTTTTCACAATTTATATCAATGATTTGGATTTTGGAATCCAAAACATAACTTCTAAATTTGTGGACACCACGTTGTTGGGGAAGATGAGGTCCGTCACTTGCAAAATGCAAGTCAGTGGAGTAGAGATAGAAAGATATCTTGAAGCACAAATGCAGCGATCAGTACTTTTGAGCCATGGGGGTTAGCGAGGCCTTTAAACAAAATGAGCATTACAGCTTGTTTCTAGCGGGATAGAATTGAAAACTAGGGAAAGAACTTCAGTTTGACCATTCTTTTAATTTGGCAAGGAGAACTGCATGCAGTACTTTAAAAATGATATAGGGGCACTGGAGAGGCTGCAGAGATGACGTATAAAGATTCTCTTGGAATGTATGGGTATATTTATCAGGAAAACAGCAACAGACTGGATAAATCATGTTTGGGGGGGTGGGCGTGTGAGTGGTTGGTGTTGGGGAGAGAAAGAAGGAGGTGACCTAACAGATCTTGAAAATTCTGGATGGTTTTGACAAGGTGGATACAGAGAGAATATTTCCTTTTGTGGGATCGAGCAGAACTAATGGCCATCAAGATGACAAAAGCCACCAGAAAATCCAGCAGGAAATTTAGAAGAAATGTCCTTACCGAAAGGCTAGTGAGAACATAGAACTCATTACTGTGGTGAGTGGTTAAAGTGAACGTTGTAAATGCATTCAAGAGAAAGCTAGACCAGCATATAAGGATGGAGGGAATGGTGAGTTTCAGCAATAGGTTTAAATTAAGAAATCCTAGAGGAGCTTGAGGGAACATAAACCCAGCATGTACTGATTGAAGAGACTTAACAGCTTCTGTGCCATGAGTCCATTTGATTCTGTGATTTATTAACCTTGTGACAAAAAGATGTAATACCCACTATGTGATATAGATTGCCTGAAATATTGCAGTCTTGCGTAAGGATTGCTGTTTATGTGACCTTGGATGAGTATGAATGTTTCTGCTTCCTTGAGGGCCAACTTATAACATTGGGGAAGCAAAATGAAGCAATGTAAAAAATGTAAAATACTATTTGACATTTTTAAATGAATCTTGTATTGGGTTATGTTTATACTTGCACTATCAGCATGCTGTTATGAAGGGATGAGATCCCAGTTCCTCGAGATGGTCTTGTACCTTTTGAGTTTTAGTGCACTCTGAACTCAAAACAAGTTATTCTATGTCAATTTATTTTGGAAAACTCTTTGTGGAAGTTTCAATGTGTTAGCAACAATAATTAAATTCAAGATTCAAATCTTTGCTTATTGATAAGCTTTTGGAAATGTAAATTTTGTGTGTGAAGATATTAGATGGTGGCCATTTCTCTTTTTATAATTCATAGCACACAATTCACGAGCTCTAATTTCAGAATTTCAACTGAAACTTGTATGGTTTTGTTTGTTTATGAATTATATTATAGTCTCAGCAAAATGTTTTATATCCTGACAAATTAATTGTATTTGGTAGTAAACTTCGCGTAGGTTGCATTTAATGTTATCATAGTTAGGTTACATTTTTGGTAACATAGACTCCTGTAATCCACAAGGGGGTGCTTAAGTAAAGACAATTACTTTTTTTAGTTTTATAACAAGAGCTTGAAATTTGAACCCAAATGGAATTCTTGCAAAGACAAGTAATACACCTGACATTGACTTGGACAATAGAAATATGTGATGAAAGAAGCATTCTCACCCCTGAGGCATAAGGTTGTAGGTTTATGTCCTGTTGTGGGGATTTGAGCATGAAAGCTAGGCCGGTTGTCCAGCACAGTACTAAGAATGCTGAACTATTGGAGGTGCTGTCTTCTGGGTGTGACATTAAATGGAGGCTGTGATATCCTCTCAGATAAAAGATCTCATGGCACCAGTCAAGGAAAAATGTGTGTTCACAGTGTTCTGGCCAGTATTTATCCCTCAATCAGCAGTTTTTTAAATAAAGTCCAGTCATTTATCCTGTTGCTGTTTTGGAATTTGCGCTGTGCACAAATTAGCTGCCATGTTTCCTACATTACAATGGTGACTGCACCTCAGAATAACTAATTAGCTGTAGTGCACTTTGCAATGTTCTCAGATTGTAAAAAGTGCTATATTAATACACTTTTTTGGGTTTTGAGCACACCAATTATTAGTACTTAAACATTTGTAATATTTGTGACATTTGGAAAATGAAAGGAAAAAAATCAGTAATGCACTGGCAGAGATTATCTGCAAGCTTTGACATTTCTCTGTAGCGTAGTCCCATTCTTCTGTGAGTTTTTGCTATGGTTTGGAAGCAATTATGGAATGCTTAATATTTATTTAAATGTGCATTATTTGTTGTTCATCTAGAGTAGCAATCCTACGTCATTTGACATGGGAATGCTCGAGATTTTAACAAATTAAAGGTCCATGCTTGCGGGGAGCAGTAGTGGTTTGGGAGGAGATGTGGCTGTGGGTAGGGGAAGGCATTGGTGTCTGGACTTGGCCCATTTCTTCCTGAAATCAAAAATCTGAAAAGCTCAAATCACAGCAATATATATTACTATTTTGGTTTTCATTCTAAAATATAAAAATTTGTTCTTTTGGAGAAGTTAGGGAAGAGTTTTGTTTTGAACAGCAGTGGCATGTTTGGTGTAGAATCTATGTCCTCATGTTTTTTTCTTCTTTGTTATGGTCTAATTTGGTTTATCTGCTGGTAAATAGATTTAATTAAACTGAGGCTACATCATGTATGTAAGCAAATGAATGCAATTCTTATATTGGAAAGGATGTAGACCCTACCAGTAAACACGTTGAAGATAAAGTACCTTCTATTTAAATGTGACATCTTTTTATCTGAGTGAATTTAAAATAACTGAGTAACTGCAACATAGTTCACAGAAAATGTTTTATTTCCCACATGAAATCCAGTGGCATCTGTCAGCAAGTTCCCCAAAGAGCTTGTCATTTTCTCAGAATTGATGCCAGTATATTTGGCATATTCCCAACCCCATAGAATAGTTTTCCTTCATAGTGCCTGGTATTTTTTGTTGATTAGTGTGGGGTGCTTACTCTTAACTTTGATAGCTAATTACTGTACGTGTAAAGGTTAGTGCTAGATTTTTAGGGTATTTTACTCCATGAAAGGTAGAGTGGCATGATATTTCTGGAGCACAGCTTTTTTTGTGGTGTACAAAATGAGTGGAAAAATACTTTCCTTCCATCCTTCCATCATCAATACTAAATATGTTTGTTTTGGATGGCATTCATGTTGTTCTCTGCTCAAATTATTCTGAGCTCTGGTGTTTTGTCACCTTACTTTTGAACATATAATAAAATTCAGAATACTTTCCTGTTTGAAAAATGCTTGAGGTGATGAAAATTGCTTAGCATATCAAGAAAACAGGAAAGAATCTTCAAATGTGCATTATTTCAACATGCTCATTGCCGAGAGATGTAGGTATTCAGACCGCAAAAAATGGAGTATGGCTGTGCGTAAAAAAGCACATTTACTTCTTGCAATTTTTTTTTTATATTTGGTAGAAAATGTCTATTACTTTCTTATCTGTTCTGAAGATTGGTTCAAATTAATTTTAAGAATGAGAGGCAAATTCAAGGATTTTTCAAAAAAATCTTTGAAAGCCTATTTTGCCATTACTGTATATATTCGTATCCAAAGTTAATTTGTTGGAAAGAAATTAGATGTGAACAACAGTGAAGCTTTCTGTTTTGTTCCATTTGTGCATTATGAGTGCAATTAATTCTAATTTCCCTTCATTGCTGTCAAACATCTATTTAGATACGTTGTGTAAATTTTTTACCTAAGTGTCATTGTTTTACCTGTCACTTTTCATAATCTAGTTTAAATGTCAAATAACTTCTTATTCCATTAACAGTTACTGCCTTTCTTTTAGGAGTCCTGTGTACTGGAGAATTATGGGAATTTCTAAACTTCACTGAACGCCACCCCAATATTCTCTACAAGATACTTCTGTTTAGTTTAACTAGTGCCCTAGGCCAGGTCAGTACCATTTGTATTCCCATGGAACATTTAAGGCTCTCACAACTTCAACTGGTTACTTAATAATGTACACAAGCTTTCTTTGTATATGTCCTCTTGGCACATACTGCTGTGATAAAAATTCAGCATTTATTTGAAAGTACATATGCATGGTAATGCAAAGGTTAAGGAAGAGTAGCCCATCTTCTGATGTAGTTTATGTTTTGGATCCGTTTTGGGAAATATAAGCTATAACTTGTTTTAACATTCCGATGCTACATAATAAACTCGTTAGAAGCCCCACAGTATGAAAATAGGTCATTCGGCCCAACAAGTCCACACCAACCCTCCAAAGAGCATCCCACCCAGACCCATCCCCTTCCCGTATCCCTGTATTGCCCATGGCTAATACACCTAATCTACACATCCCTGAACACTATGGGCAATTTAGCATAGACAATCCATCTAATATGCACATCTTTGGACTGTGGGAGGAAACCGGAGCGCCTGGTGGAAACCCACACAGACATGGCAGAATGTGCAAATTCCAGACACAGTTGCCCGAGGGTGGAATCAAGCTCGGGTCGCTGGCTCTGTGAGGCATCAGTGCTAACCACAGAACCACCATGTTGCCCCATTAACAATAATTTGACTTCAGTTTATTTGTTTAAACTGATTTACAGTATTCCCTGCACGGGATTTGTAGCAATCCCATCATCCTGCTCTATGTATATATTTCATACCTAAAGCTTTGATTCCTTGTGGATTTAGAACTTTGGAATCAATTGGAAAGTTAGAATGAAAGCTTCATATCTGGAAAGATGATAAAACTCATATTAAAATAAATTAAAATGTTAAAATGGTTATCCTAATTAATTAGCGAGTGAATGTGACTATCTAGTACGACTAAGTTGTTATAACAATGTTTGAAGTTGATTTCGGCCTATGTCAACTTAACTGTTCTTGGAATGGTAACATCTGGGTGGACAGACGAGGAAGGGAAGGTAGGGAAACTGTGCAACAGCTTTTCATAGGCACTGTTATGATCCCCAGCTGATGCTGCTACTAGATAGATCAGATCCCAGAGTGAAACTGAGATCCAAATTAGATCCTATTTTATTTGAACTGTGGAGGTCAGATACTGAACACATTCACAAGAGACTGCCGGTGTACTTTTAACGTAAATTTTAAAACATGTTTATTAAACAAGAGAAAAACATCAATATGAAATATGCCACATGAGGAACGAGAAAGGTTGGAAGGCATCAGAAAAAGATTAAGCTTTATGCTACCACTTTTAACCTAACAATATCCTTACAAACAATCAAACCTCAATGAAGAGTCATTACTGGCTTTAAAGCTTCCTGCTCAGACTCTGCTTGAGACAGCAATAATCCGTTACCTTTTAGCAGATTTCTCAGTTATTAGATGCTTTACCCTCACTTTCCCCAAGACACCTGAAGCAAACTGCAAACCAGACTTTCTATGACTTTTTTCCTTCAGACAAGGCGGCATGGGTAGCTCAGTGGTTAGCACTGCTGCCTCTCAGCACTGGGGACCCGGGTTCGATTCCATCCTCGGGTGACTGTGTGGAGATTGCACATTCTCCCCATGTCTGTGTGGATTTCCTCCGGGTGCTCCAGTTTCCTCCCACCTTCTAAAGATGCGCAGGTTAGGTGGATTGGGCATGCTAAAATTCTCATAGTGTCCAGGAATAGGGTTGGTGAGGACTTGATGAACTGAATGACCTGCTTCCAAACTGTAGGCATTCTATGATTCTATAAAGCTCAGCTGTCCTGCTACCTTGCCTCCACTCTATGGAACCCCCATACACAGACTAGGTAAAAGTACTTTTATTTTAAATGAATTGAGCTGTTAACTTACCCAACTCTTCAAGATTGTGAAACCTCATTAAAAGTGCATGTCATCAAAACAGACTTTCAGATTGTTTGGCACCACAGCTCCAAACTCTCAAATGAAATTAAAAATGGCAGACCATGCCGTCCCTTTCTGAACACAGATACAAAATATAAATTCATTTTTTCTTAATAATGTCATTATGTTCATAACTAAGATACCCAAGGAATGGTGCCCAGGAATTGTATAAAGTTGAAAATGAGCTGTGGGTAGAAAGACTTGACTGGATAATCTTAAAAGCAAATTATCTGTTTAATCTAATATGGTCATCAAAGAAACCATTGTAGAATATATGTGTGCTGTGGGGTAAAGTCAAATCAAAGATTTTAATTTTCTTTTCCAGAGTTTCATCTTTATGACAGTTGTTTACTTTGGACCTTTGACCTGTTCAATCATTACTACGACCAGAAAATTCTTTACTATCCTTGGTTCGGTACTTATTTTTGGTAATCCGATTAGCTCTTTGCAGTGGGTAGGCACTGTCTTTGTATTTCTAGGTAAGTGATGTAAGCTTTTCATGTGTAAATGGGGCTAGTTTAGTTTGGGAAACTTGGCATGGATGAATTGGCCCGAAGGGTCTGTTTCCATGTTGTATGACTTTATAACTCAAGAAGCCTGAGAAAAGAAAGTTAATTAAAACAGTTCCTTGTGTAGTAATTCAGGCATTTGGCTCAATAACTGTTAGATTGTAACACTAACCCACGTGAGTTTATTATTTTGTTGAGCCTCTTTATCAAAACGGAAAAGCACTGAACAAAAGCTTGCCCTCACTCCCCTGGTCCATTGTCCAACTTCAAAGGGAGATGATCTTTGTAGTTGGCGTGAATATCTTGAAGGTATTTTTGATGTTGGTGCCATTTTAATGCCATTTCTATTTTATGAAAGTTCCCAGTGATTGAGGCATTCGCTTGATCTGTGTCGTAAATTTGTTAAGTGTCATTCATCTTAGAGCATCTGTTTCTCTTTGCTTTATTCTTTTCATGGATTGTGGGTATCACCAACAAGCCAGCATTTGTTGCTCATCCCTAATTGCCCTTAAACCAATTGGCTTGTTGGGCCATTTTTGAGGCATCTAAGATTCAGCTACATTACTGAGAGTCTGGAGTCCAGAGCCCAGACCTAGTAAGGATGGCAGATTTCCTTCCCTAAAGAATGTTGTTGAACCTGATCAGTCTTTACGACAATCAATGATTATATCATGGTCACAATTAGATGTTAGATTTTAAGGCTAACTTTCAATTTCAGACTTTTTAAAAATTGAATTTAAATTTCACCAGGAATTGAACCCCTAGGTCATCAGGCTGGGCTAATGGATTACTTCTACAGTCACAGGATTGTAGTTTATTTATATAAAACAAATGGTGCTTGAACACACTGCTGAACCTTTATCCACATATTCTTATATGAATGACCCTGTAACCTGCATGTCTGTTTTTGAAATTCCTACAATCTCTTGTTCATTCAACCCTCTGAACCCATAAATAAGAATGGGTTCTTCTCATTGGCTGCCGAAGTGATTTAGGATTCAGAGAATCTAGCTTAAAATGCATTTTATCAAACATGCAATAAGTTAGGGTGTTTGCTTTTCATAGATCTCATTAATAATGTTTTCATTTTTGTTTTTTTTTTTTCCCCTCTTATTAGGACTTGGTTTAGATGCCAAATATGGAAAGGCAACTAAAAAAAATCATCACTAAACACTGAGGCTATTATTCAACCAGAAGATTTTGATCATCAATGATGTTGATGTCTGAATTTCATTTATTTTTAAATTCTCTCCTTAGGCTGTTATGTCAATTAACTGTTGGAATAGTTGACTTTTTTTTTGAAAAGAATGTTCCTAGATTTCTGTATACACGTGAATACTTTAAGATTTTACACCAACAGTTTGTGCAATACTTCATTTATAATCCAGGACATTTAAAGTAATGCCTCGTATCAGACTTCACTGGTAAGTGCTATCAATAAGATCCTAAATTTAAACAAAGAACTGCAGATGCTGGAGATCTGAAACAAAAACAGAAATTGCTGGAGAAACTCAGCAGGTCTGGCAGCATTTGTGGGAAGAAAACGTTAATGTTTCAAGTTCAGTGACCCTTCAGAACTGAGTCACCAGACTCAACATTAACTCTGCTTTCTTCTCCCAGATGCTGCTAGATCTGCTGAGCTTCTCCAGCAATTTCTGTTCGTGTTACAATAAAATTCTAGTACTGATTTTGGTTCTTGACATTTGCCATGGATTGTTAAATAAAAATCCTGAATTTCTTAAAAGGTAAAATTATTCCTATTAATTTTCTTGTATTGTTTGCATGTGTTTAATGCTTTTGTTATCATTTTGCAGAATTGAATTGTAGCATTTTCTCTCCAAATTTTTAATTGTCTTTAAAACTCCAGAAACCCGCTTCCTCATGTTTTTGCCTATAGTGTATGAAAAAGATCAGTGGTTCGGTACAACTTGGATACCGATATGATTATATAGTCATAGCTTAAAGTTACATTATCTGATTGCTCGTCTGCATGACCCTGTTCGGAAAATCTCAAAGGTGTTTACTTCAATTCTTCTCAATTCTTCCTCACAAAAGGAAAAAAATGTAGATGCTAGAAATGTGAAATAAAAGCTAAAAGCATTTGGCCAGTCTGGCAACATGTGGAGAGAGAAACCAGTAATTTTTGGAGGTCATTAACTAGACTGGAGTGTTCTACTTTTAATACTCAAGTTCTTGAATTGTTTAAAAAATACAACCAAAATTTATTGAGGTAACAATTAAGAACTAATTTTTTTTTAAAAAATCAGTAACTAGAGATTATTCTTAACTCCAGCTTTTGCAATTTGGAGTGAGAATTGTTATCAATTTGTATTTGCTACTGCCCAGTTACTGTAGTCTGTGTGAAATTAAGCACAGTTTATTTGATGCTATTTTAATCAGCCATGATCTTATTGAATGGTGGAGCTTTGAGGCTAGAGGGGCTGAATAGCCTACTACTGCTTCTGATTCAAATGTTCATACTTATATTTAAATGTACTGTGTTTTTAATAGCTACTTTAAAGTGATGCAGAAAAAGTTAAGAAATAAACCCACTACAATCTGATTTCATTGCATTCCATTTATGCAACCCATGTCAGAGAGCCATCTGTTCTTTGCCCATTGTCCCACATGGTTCAGAGAATGATTTTTGCAAGTTGTGGAAGTTTTCCAAAAGAAAATCATCTATTTTCAAAATAAAAGCTTTAAACCATACCTTTATTGTAATATATTTTATACATTTATATTGTCCTTTGAAGTGACTATGCCTTTCAAAGAAGACAACTAATTAATCAAAGAGCTCTGGTTAGAGCAGAGGAGAATAAGTATTGATTTGATTGAGCTGTTTACAATTATGTATGATTGGGGCATTGTAGAATGAAACAGACAATTTTCATTGGCCATAGATTCAAAAAATGAAAATGTAGATCAAAGATTAAACGTGAGACTTTGGATGAGGTGTAAGAAAAGGCTTTGAGACTGGCTTGTACCACTAGAGTTAGTAGTTGAAACAAAGACCATGCCAATGTTTAAGATGATTAAATGGTTATTGAAAGAAAGGGGAAAATTGCAATATAGAATAGGCACTAGAGATTAGGACTATTAGAACAACTGCTTTTATGGAGCAGGAACAGCTGCTTTTATGGAGAATGAGCAGCAATGTAGACTATTTTGACCGATATTAGTCTCCATATTATGTGTAAATATAGTACATTCCAGCTACTGTTTTAAAGTGCAGCAATGATGAGGCTTTGAGGTGGAATATCATGTAGGTTAATCGTATCAGTACTGTAAGGAAAGTTTGATTTCATTTTAATTGCCTTATTTGTAGGGTTGAGGGCAAAAAAAGCCTTGTGTACATCTGTAGATCATCGGGTTGATTTCTCCATTTGGAAGTGGTTGTAAAATATGAGATGGCACAGGTGATCTTTGCAATTTATGGGAAATTATTAAATGCCATCTGTGAAAAATTGATTTTATAACATTTTGGAGCAAGATTCCATAAGTTTGTGATATAATCAATGAGTGGCCATGGCTAATTATAAGTATACTTGTATTAAACTTTAGAAATCAAATTGCCTGAGTTGAAGATGCATTTCTATCCCTCACTCTTCAGTTCCACTTGCTGCAGCCACAAATAAATAAAGTATGCACTGTTCATGAAAAGCTTCATAAAAACAGCTGATCTTGATCTGGATTAACAGACATTTCATATTCTCAGGAATAGCATCGGTTTTGGCAGAAGAAACAAATGAGATCAAGGTGCAGTTTCTGTTCCTAGCAGCATTATTTGCTTTACAGCAGTACTTGTCAAGACTTGCATCAGCAATTTACAGTTTTCTAGATCCATAGAGGAGGTGAAAAGCAATGGTGAATGTTTAACCGTTTTGAACCCTGAAAACAATACTAAAGGACTTTTGTTTTATGTGTTAAGGTGGTGTGTGGGGCTGGGGATAAGACTGCATTGATCATTTTTGTTCTCATGTATTTAATCCAGTTATTGATTTTTAACATTTTTTGGGAATAAATAATGTACAATGTTTATTATCAAAATACAATATTATTTCATACTTTTGAGTCTCAAAGTTCAACAAATAAAAACAGTTTTTGATAATTGGCTTCTCGTACAGGATGTCTTTTAGTGTGCTGTACAAAGGTGTCATTCAGCATTTGATCACAAAAGATCTATGGTCCCAGTACCACTGTACAAATCAGGAGCTGATCATGTTATGGTGAATTATACAACCTTGTCACACTGATATTTAATGTAATGATTATTACTGTCTAATATCATTGCAGTGTGTTGCTTCCAATTAATTCTGTGCTGTCAACTTGAACATGTGCAGCATCTGGCTCTTTATCCTTTGTATTCCAGGTGGCTTTATACCTGTCAGATTCAGAGTACCTACGTTTACAACAGAAAACTACTTAACTAAGTCCTATTTTCTGAATTAAGGACTTTATGAAAAAAAGCCAAGTTACAGCATCAGCTACAAAATTAGAATGTCAATAATTGAAATTTCACAACCTAGATAAAAATTAATTTTAGCTTCTGATTTCAACCAAAAACCAAAGCTGGAAATGAGGTCATAGGCATTTGGCAAATGTAACTTGAAAGACTTTTGCTTTTGGAAATTTTCTCAAGCACTTAACTAGTCCCTAAATACATTAAGCATAACGCACTTTGTAGATAGAAATAATGGTTGGAAATATGAAAATACTACAGTTTTAATTTACACCATCGTATTTCATTTATGTGTAAATGTCTGCTTATTAACTTGCTACTATCACACCTTTTAATATAATCTCAACAATTTAGTGTCAGATGTAATATAAAAAGTTATCTTGATGCAGCAACCTTGTACGCAGTATATACCAAATCAATATGATATTTAAAACCACTGTTTTATATTTGATTATCTGTGTCAAAATTAGAAAGCATATTTGCAGACATTTGGTTTTATAAATAGATACCTATAGACATGGATTCCCTTTTTTAAAAAAATCCTTAGTTACTGGTGGAAGAGGCAAGATTTCAGGCTTAAAGATTTTTACTGTAATAAACTAAAAGTCACCATAAACCAAACGCTTCAGAGATAGTAGGAACTGCAGATGCTGGAGAATCTGAGATAACAAGGTGTAGAGCTGGATGAACACAGCAGGCCAAGCAGCATCAGAGGAGCAGGAAGGCTGAAGAAGGGTCTAGGCCCGAAACGTCAGCCTTCCT